GCGGGGCTAGCGAGTAGCCGAAAGGGAGACGATTGAACTGGTATTGAACTCCCTTGATTGAAAAGCACTGGAACTTCCGGTGTTTGGGAATTACTGGGACGTGAAAGTATGCGTCTTTCAGGTCAATCGACGTGAACCAGTCCCCGGAGCGCACGTATTCTAGGACTTGCCTCATTGTTAACATGCGGAAATGCATCACTGCTATGAAACAGGGAAAGGTCGAGAATTGGTCTCATTCCTCCTGACTTCTTCGGTACTACAAAGTAGCGGGAGTAGAAGCCTGAGAGCTCTTGTCCGCGAGGGACTTGGGAAATGGCGTCCATGGACAGAAGTTCCTGTAGCTCCAGCTCCAGGGCCTGAGACTGTTCCTGTGACTTGAACGTCGTCTCCACGATCCCGTTGAAGGGAGGAGGAGCGGACTGAAAATGGAGTGTGTGACCGCATTGAATGGTGTCCGATATCCATTTGCTCACGAGACAAAAGTGGCGCCATTCGTGCGCGCGTTCCGACAGCGGACGCGTGTTCGAAGTCACCTGAACAATGTCTGAGGACTGGGTTCGCGCCCTTATCGCCGTCGCTCGCACCAGAGAACTGGGAGCGACCCACAAAGGGCTGCGCTCGAAAGGGCGAGTGTGAAACAGCTGGAAGAGGCTAAACCGCACCGTAGAGCGTGGAGTCCAAAGATAAAGGACGAGTGGGAGCCAGACCCGTGCACGGGGACGACAAAGTGCCAGCAGATGGAGCCGCTCACTGTGTCGCTGCGTGTGGTCATGATAGCGCCATGACATCCCGTCCCACCCTACGTTGTGGGGGGAGCGGGATGTCTTGGGCCTGGCTGGAAGCTAAGGCCAGTGCGCAAATGGAGCGCACCCTTACAGCTGCTCATGTAATATGACTGACTGCGTGAACATGCTGGTGTGTCGCAGTGCTTGGTGTGGGGAACATGTGTGAGGATTCGGCAGAGGATTCTGCAGAGGACTGTAGGATTGTGCTCTCAATGTGACGTTTTTTGGGTTTTATTTCAAAACCAAAATTATTCACAGAGTTAACATTACAGTCAGAAGCACACACATTCCCCCCAACGAGTCATTTTCGTGGTTGCTTTTGGCGAGGTTCTTGCGACTGTGACGGCCAAGACGGTATCTGCTGGCTCTTTCGAAACCGTTGGCTGCCAACTCTCTGGTCCCGCTGAGGTGGAACCGAAGCGGGAGGCCAGCTCCGTGGGGCGGGCGGAGCAGCTGGGCGTCTGAAGTTTCCGCGCCGTTCGTCCAATCCTCTGGAGGAACGGCCGGAGTGAGAGGCGGACCGAGGGTGGACCAGGTCTCACACCGTGGCTGACAGTTCAGCTGTCTTCTGAGCCCTCTCGATGACGCTCCTAAGATGGGGACCAAACAGAACGTCAGAGGTGATGGGGCCTTCCAGCATCTCTCTGTGCAGGCGTTCAGGAATGGAGGGCAGGGCCATGAGGCACAAGGCCCACTGGATAAGGGTCTGCCAGGCAGCAATGTGGCAGAACCGGTGAGTACAGGAGCACACAGATTGAGAATGGCATCAGCAGTTTTAGTAATGATGGTTTTCGACTCGTCAGGAAGTTCACGCTCTTCCACCATTTTGGAAATGCCAAAGGCAAGAAGGGCAATGTTATTTCCTGCAGCGCCGGTCTGGAAGGCACACTGGTGTGCGCGATCGGTGAGCTGCGTCAGCAGCTGGTCATGCTTGAAAGTGGGAACTGCTCGCGGGCCAGTGAGGTAGTTCTTGGCGCCAAACAGCAAGGCCAAGTCCGGCTCCAGTGGAGGAACGGATGGCCAGCCCTGGTCGGAGAAGCACTTGACCTTGGTAATGGGCGGATATGTGGAAATTGGCGCTTTGAGCTTAGCAGGTTCGGAGAAGGCAGCGGACCAGCAGCTCATGGCAGCGGGGAAGCGCGGCCAGATGGGGTCTGGACAGCGCGTTTGTGTTGCCCCGAAAATTCCCGCCAAATCATCCGCTTCAGGCGGAGCCGGTTCTGGCACGGCTAGCCCCTTGCGGACTGCAGCCGCGGAGATGATGGCAGGTAGCTCCTGGAGTAGTGCTCTAACTGCTGGCAATGAGGAGCGAGAAGGCACTGGAGCAGAGGAGCCCGCTGAGGGAAGCTCGTCGACCTCCGTGTTGTCCAGGATAGTAGCATAGCATAGCATAGCATAGTTTATTTATATAGCACATCTAAAATGCAGCATGGGAGCTGCCCAAAGTGCTGCACAGGCTAAAACAAAACACACCTTTACAAGGAGCTAAAACAAAGGATAAAAATCTCAATTAAAAGCAGATAAAACATGATGAATACTAAGAGCACATTAAAACAATGACACAATAAAACACTAAAACGAGTCACTGTCTAAAAGCCAAAGTGTATAAGTGGGTCTTTAAACGAGATTTAAAAACCGCCAGAGATGTAGCCTGCCGAACTGCAATGGGCAATGAGTTCCATAGCTTTGGGGCAGCATGGACAAATGCTCGATCCCCCCGCGATTTGAGTCTCATCCGCGGCGTATACAGCAGCAAAAGGTCAGCCGACCTCAACGAGCGGGTGGGCACATATGGAGTGAGAAGGGCAGAGAGGTAGGAAGGTGCCAGGTCATTGAGTGCTTTAAAAACAAAAGTCAGTAACTTAAACTGCACTCTGAAAATGACAGGGAGCCAGTGAAGATGTTTCAGGACAGGGGTAATGTGGCTACGTCGGTGTGTACCCGTCAAGAACCTGGCAGCAGCATTCTGAACAACCTGCAGCCGATTCAGGGCAGAGTCCGGAACACCAATGAGTAGGGCGTTTGCATAGTCCAGGCGAGAGGTAATGAAGGCATGGATGACTGACTCCAAATGCCTCCGTTTCAGGATTCGCCTGAGGTGAGTAAGGCGGCGAAGCTGATAAAAACAAGACCTCACTACAGAGTTTATCGGTGGGGCCATTGTGAGTCCAGCATCCAGCTTGACCCCGAGACTCGTCACACACTGTTTGGGGTTAAGGGTTAAAAGGTCACAAACAGGGTGAGAGCCATGGTGGTTGCGGGGATCAAAAACAATAAACTCAGACTTCTTTTCATTCAGTTTTAAGAAGTTGGATGCCAGCCAGCCCTTCACGTCCTGCATACATACAGCCAAATTTCGAGCCTGCATTTTTCTCATCCATTTCCACGTATAGCTGACAGTCATCTGCGTAGATGTGGTAGCTCAGGCCATGCTGATTCAGGATATTGCCCAGAGGCAGAAGGTAGATTGAAAACAGCAATGGCCCAAGAACGGAACCTTGCGGCACCCCCCAAGGCAGTGGAAGACTGGAGGATGCACAGTCACCAATCTATACAGAGATGGTACGGTTTGATAGGTAGGAGCGGAACCATTTAAGCGCCACCCCCATCACCCCAACCCAAGACCCAAGCCGATCCAGTAAAATATGATGATCGACCGTATCAAAAGCCGCTGAAAGGTCCAGCTGGAGCAGCAGTACCGTAGACCCAGAGTCAGATGCCACTGAAATGTTATTTAGCACCCTAATCAAAGCAGACTAAGTGCTATGGTTTGGTCTAAAGGCTGACTGAAATACATCCAACAACGAGTTGCTATTCATATGATATGGGCAGAGATCTGGCCATGCACAATTTTCTCAAGGACCTTCGAGAGAAACGGGACTTTCGATTTAGGGCGGAAGTTCTCATAAGTGGAGGGATCCAACCCAGGTTTTTTCAATATCGGCTGAACAACCGCATCTTTAAAAACCTTAGGGAACACTCCAGTGCTGAGGCTAATGTTAAAAATGTTCATGAGTGCCGGGCTCAGCGCAGACACCGAGTCACGCACCAATTTAGCTGGGAGGCAGTCCACCGAAGAGCCAGCTGGCTTCATGGAGCTAATCAGTTTCATCAAGTCAGCAAGCTGAACAGGAGCAAAGTCTGAGAAGGCAGGTGGATCCGGCGGTTCTACATGGATAGTGTGTATCTGAGGCTGGAGGCTAAGCCTAATACCAAGGATCTTGTTGAGGAAAAAGCTCTGTAGCTCTGTGCATAAAGCAACAGTAGGATTTAGACCATCAGACTCATTTAACAGTAGCAAGGAGTTAACTGTGCTGTACAGCCTGGACTGGTCTCCATGATGCTGTGAAATGATAGCAGAAAAATAGTTATTACGAGCAGATCTAACTGCTCTCTGGTAGCGTGAAAGTGCATCAACCAGGAGCAGCCGAGAGCATGACAGTCTGTCTCTCTTCCACCTCCGTTCCAGCACCCTACCCTGTCGCCTGAGGCTACGGGTGTAATCATTCAGCCAAGGGTCACATGTTGTCTGTTTCCGCCTCGGTCTCAGAGGGGCTACAGCGTCCAGAGCAGCAGAGCAGGTCACACTGAACCGATGCAGAAGGCCATCTACATCCATGCAGGAAACTGACAAGGGCGGGTATCGATTCAAATTTCCAGAATGGATTCGATTCAGATTCTTGAGATTTAAAATCGATTATCAATATCTAATCCGATCGATTCCGATCCGATATCGATTCAATTCAGGTCATCAATTTAAAAACATTTTTGCAGTTACCATAATTCCATGACTGCATAGTTGTGCAGTATATTGATAATATTGACATTCAATGATACATTAATGAAATATTGGCCAGTAAAAACAGTTGTAAGGACCAGTTCCTCTCCAAGAATGTTAAGTGTTTCCAGCGTTTTCTAGGACATCATTAAATTCAGATGTTAGAAATTCAGCCAAAAGCTATTGCTGTTGAAAGCAAATGCCATTTTTATTCAGATAAGTTTAACCATATGAAAAAAGATATTATTTGCCAGTGCAAATGTAAACAGAAGCAGAAAGCTTAAAATTAACGGCTTTCGTTTTACTTTATGCAAATAGAATTTAAAAGGTACAGAACCTTAAACAACTGTTTCACAGTCTTGTGCAAAAACTTACACACTTCAAGTATCCAGAAACATTCAAATGCAGTTAAAGTACAACAATGTAAACTTGTGAAAAGTGAAAACTGAAAGGCATTCCATATTAATGTACAAACAAAATTGAACAGGAAATTAAACTTGACTAAAGACAGACTGTGTAAACTGTCCTCTTATGAACATCACTTGGGAATGGTAAGATTCTTCTGCAGGAAAAGTAGCTGATTCACATGACCAGGGGTGAGACAGCTTCTTTTTGCAGTGATTATATCACCTGCAGTTGAAAAAACCCTCTCAGACGCGACACTGGTCCCAGGGACACAGAGATATCGCTTAGCCATGCGAGCCAAAAGAGGATACTCTTTTTCATTCTCTCTCCACCAGACCAGAGGATTGTCCTGCAGGTCTCCTCGCCCTGTACCTCTTGATCTCATCTTCTGCCACCTCTGCAAGAGTTTTCTTTGCATGCCCCCTCTCCTCTCTTGGTATGTAGGCTTCCCCAAGGAGAGACTCCAAAGCACTGGATTGCTTGGGGTTAGGTGCAGGGGGGTTGTTTTCCTCCTCTTCCTCCATTTCATCAACTTCATCTTGCTGCATGAGAGAAGAAATACTTATATGTGTCGTTGTGCAACAATAGGCTTTGGTTTGGCTATGAATAACTTAACATAACATAAATCTGTCATTTTGATCTAAACTATCAAGTCAGAACACAACATGGATATCAGGAAAAGTGTTCAGTCTTGGTTCTTAGAGTTGTGTATTTTTGAAGGTTACAATAGCTTACTGCCTTGTGTATTTGAGTGTAATCTTATTATTTCTCATTTTCTCCAAGGATATGTGATGCTGTAGCGAATTAACTTCCCCACTGTGTGATTAATCTGAGTATATTCTATCATCTATGAATACCTGCCTGCTCAGGCTGAGATTTCAAATATTTAAATATTTAAATATTTAAAAATATGTTTCTGAACAGTAAGAAACTGCACATTTATAATTGGAATAAACACAAACAACTTCTCCCTGATAGGTAAGAGTTTAACAAATGTAATTAAACATGTCAGTTAATATACTTCTATCAACAAACTCACTAACCTAGTAACACTCAACGAAGATACTACTACTAAATATGAAAGAATAAATGAAAACTAAAATGAAAAATATACAAATAACAATAAAACCAATAACATGTTGTGAAAACCAGGTTTAATAGGATGATTTCAGAAAATAGGCAAAATTAGCTTTCAACTAATTCAGATTAGACTTCACCAAAATGTGTGTGTGAGAGAGAGAGATCAGTTACATGGTAGTATTTGCTTGGGTTTTCTTTTTCACAAGGCTTCTTATTACTTACATTAGATGCTTCTTCCTCCATCCCACCCACTGCTTCAGCCTGGAGCCTGGAGAAGGTGTGCTCTCGCTCCTCCTCACCCAGAAATGGCAGGGCTTTGAAGCGTGGATCAACAGCTGAGGCGGCATGCAGCATGGCCGTCTCACATACCTGAAATATAAATGTCACACATTTAAATCTATGCAATTAGGGAGATAATATTTTCTTAAATTGTTTAATTAAATACACAATATAACCTATTTTCTCTCTCACACGCACAAAAAAGGCCTACCTTGTGCTCAGGTTTTTCTTGATCTCATTCTTCATATCCTTAACAACTTTGGAGTTTTCTGGGAGGCTGGTCATCTCCTTCAGCAGCAGAGCACGCAGGGGTGCGATCATTGAGAGAGTTGGTGACTTTTCTTCTGACATGACTTCAGTAGCTTTTTTCAATGGCTTCAGAGCTCTGACCACATCTTCAGCATCAGTTATGTCTTCCTCTTTCAGACTGCACAAATCTTTTTCATTTCTGCGGACTTCAGGTGAGAGCAGAGCAGCAGAGATAGCAGGCTGCTGCTCCAGAAAACGTTTGAGCATTTCCAGTGCACTATTCCATCTGGTCACAACATCGTGTGAGCTTGTGTTGTTTAAGCTGCAATAGTTTCTGCTTTTCTTTCAAGATGCGGCTGGATGTTGTGCTGCGATGGAAGAACGTTACAATGTGCCTCACTCTCCCAAGCAGGCGTGCGATATTTGGGAGTTTGAGACCGGTTTGTGAGGCGAGGTTTATGATGTGTGCAAAACAGCCAATGTGTGTTAACCCCATCATCTCAACCTGGGACGTAATTTTGGGGGGGGGACGGGTGGGACATGTCCCCCCCACTTTTTCAAAAGGCAGTTTTGGTCCCCTGCACTTTTTTCCGTCCAAAAACAATGTTACGCTCCATTAAATGGATTTGGTTGAGCACTAGGACCGAAACGGAAACCGGTTTACTATTAGACCCGCCCAAAAGCTAATCTATTGGCTCTGCTGATACTTGCTAACGTATTATTGGCTGTTGCTGCTGTCACTCAAGTTGTAAACAGTCAGAACGTGCTCACGTTGTTTTGCTAGTTTGGAGCCGCTAGGGAACACCGGTACTGAGTCACATCGTCAACTAGACGCTGTGTAATATCAGAGCTCAGCTCAGCTTCCATTACATAACATTTGAATAAGTGTTCATTTGTGAGTCTTTGGTAGTTAGGCACAGCCAGGAGGCAGCATGTCAAGAAAACGAAAAGTGGATATAAGAGACTTCTTTCAAAGTCAAAACGTAAGTTGGAACATGTGACACCCCTGCATTAAGCTCAGACTCACCTCCTCCTTCACAAACATACTCAAAACTAACTTTTACAAACTCATCTCCTCCACATAACTGACTCCTCAGACACAATTTATTCGTATTATTATAATAATTATTTTTTCATTATTACTATTATCATCATAATTATTATTACTAGTAGTAGTAGAAGTGTAACTTCAAAACTTTTATCATTTAACTTTATTGTAAACTTATCTATTGCAATGTATATTTTCACATTAAAAAGCTCTGAATAATGAACAGTATCATCGTCAACAGATTTTTTTAAGCTTAAATGGCCTGTATTTGATATAGCGCCTTCTAGAGTCCTGGAACCCCCCAAGGCACTGTACAACACAATCAGTCATTCACCCATTCACACACACATTCACACACTGGTGGGGATGAGCTACGATGTAGCCACAGCTGCCCTGGGGCGCACTGACAGAGGCGAGGCTGCCGAGCACTGGCGCCACCGGTCCCTCCGACCACCACCAGCAGGCAATGTGGGTTAAGTGTCTTGCCCAAGGACACAACGACAGCGACAGACTGAGCGGGTCTCGAACCTGCGACCTTCCGATTGCGAGGCGAGCACTTAACTCCTGTGCCACCGTCGCCCCAATGTCAAAGATGTACACTTTTCATTAGATTTATCTTATTTTTTCCATTTATTTTTTGTGTGTTGAAATGCAACAACTGTTTAAAGACTTTTAAGGGAAAAAAACATATTTAATATGTTTTTATACACTCAAATGTTAGGGTGATGATCATGTGTAAAACATTAGTTCAGCATGTCCTCTAACACAGCAAATGAACAAACGGCCAGATCTCATGAGGGACCGTTTATGTATAAATAATTTTTATACTTTTGACTAGGCCTGGGAATGTAACAAATTTTGCTGGACGATATTTTGTCCAACAAATTATTGATGATAAACGATATTGTCAACATTATCTAGACCAAAATAACCACTAATCTAATGTTAATATATCATAATAATGCAAGTACACCCTTTAAAATGCAACAAATAAACCTTCATTTAACATTGAAATGTCCAGAACCAGAACTTCTAAATGAATAAAAATAACAAACAAAAATTGAATAAAAAAGGAATCTCACTCCCTGTTAGAAAATGTTGCACCAAAATCAATAAAAAAGACCCAAAACAATAAATACAATGGCCTATCCATTGTCAACAGCCAAAACTGCACTTCAATAATGATAATAAATAAAAATAATAATAGAGTTGTACATTTTTTAACTTTGATATATATATATATATATATATATATATATAGAGAGGATGGAAAAATTATTGAGATGGGCACGTGACGTGTCAAGGGGTCTTTACATAACACCCCCCACCCCAAATCCGCACAAGCCTGCTGTGTCCCCCCCACTTCTGAAATCAAAATTTCGTCCCTGATCTCAACAGCACCAATCATATTAGCCGCATTGTCGGTCACCATAGCAGGATCTTTGCTCATCAGCCCCCACTCCTCTATCGCTGCGGTCAACATTTTTGCTAGACTGGCAGAACGATGGTCAGTTTCAACTTCTGTGGTCTGTAATACGTACGAGTTGAGGTTCCACTCCTCGTCAATATAGGGTGTCGTCAAACTCATGTACGATTCCGTAGCCACAGATGTCCAGGTGTCCGTTGTAATGCCCACTCTCTCTGCTGACTGAAGCTTACTTTTCACATTTTCTTTCACCGACTGGTACATGTTTGGGATGACTTCTTCTGAAAGACGTTTGCGCGAAACCATAACATATTGCGGCTCCGCTACTTTCATTAGCCGCTTGAAGCCCTCGTTTTCAACGACAGAATATGGGCGCATATCCTTGCAAATGAAGCCCGCTATCGCCTCGTTATTTTGTGAGAACGTGTAGAATTAGCCGGTAGTTGTAGTGATTCCTTGATTTACATCTGCTGCAGACCAGTGGACGGCTTGCACGCAAGATCTTGGTGATGTCGCAAAATGTGATTGTTGAGATTGGTTCTATTTCCGCAATATTTCACCTCCATTTGCCATGCCTTGCAAATCACTTTGCTTTTGTCAAGCTGACCTTTCTCTTTGTCCGTTCTGAAACCAAAAATGCTGCCAGACCGCAGCTTTAAGAGTTTTTGGTGTTTTCAAACCGAGCGCATGGCTAACGTCGCTGCTAGTATCCGACGCCATTTTTAAAAATATCTTCACACCTAGCACGCATGAGTGAATTCAGTCACATGACGTGGGCGGGAGAAGGTCGCTGCACCATATTAACCCTTTATGAACTTCTTTTATATTTTAGCTGTACAAGAGCCAGACACTGTTAAATGGTTAAATCGATCTTTGGACGTATGAATCGATCTTCATGAATTTATATAAGAATAGATTCAGAATCGGAAAATCGATTTTTTCAACACAGCACTAGTCCAGGAGGGAAGAAGGGCTATGGCAGCCAGCCTCGCCGTACTCCTCGCTGTCAATGACATCGTCCAGTCGGCAGGAGCCAGCCGGCTCTTGGCCGACATTGAAGAACTGTAAGGCCTTATCCAGCGAGTACGTGTTAGCCACCATAAATTCCTCATCAGCGGCGGGGGTGAAGTACTCGACCTGGCGGATCTTTTCAGCCACGGGCAGAGCAGCACAAAACGGGCACGAGGCCTGGGGGGTCAAGGCCAGGCCAGCGTGATGAGCCCGAGACAGACCTCACATTTGACGTGCAGGTCGCCGCTGGAGATGGAGCCCGTCTGGCAGGCCGGGCAGGTCCTTGCGTTGCTGGACATGGCTAGTGAGTTGAATGTTGTTTCTAGATAATTTGCTCTTTAAAGTAAGCTCTTAAGCTTGGCTTGAAGAGATAACGGAGACGAACAGTGGAGTTGCTCCACTTATAAAGCCACAAGGGGTGCCCACCATTGGTGGGCGTACATTTAAGCTCTTCATGATTGGCTGATGCTGAGATCATCCTTCCAATAGCACCTAGCTTAAGGGCTAAGACTAGACGAAATAGAACTATGTTTCATCTAATTATGGTAAATGGGTTGTTGTCCTTGTACCTACCAGAATCAGCAGCTGATGATATGTCAGCAGTTGTCCCCTCACAACCCATTGAACCTCAAGAAGGTGAGCAATGTTGCATGTTAGCTAGCAGCCTCATTTAAGGGGGTCTGTGGGAATCACTTAAGGCTCTCTTCTTAATAGGAATATAAAAAGGCTATTTTTGGTGATAAACACATTGTTTTTCCACATAATGATAATTATATATATCAATCAGTAAAAATGTAGGAAGATGTCACACCCTGTCCTGAAAGAGGAAAGATGTCACACCCTGTCCTGTTTCCCCATTTTGTTCAACCTGTGTCTCTGTTAATTGCTCCCACCTGCCTCTCGTTTTCCAATCACCCAAGCTCCCAACCCGCTTGTATATAAACCCCTCCAGTTCTGTGTCCCTGGTTGGCTCGTTGTTCCCATGTACTGCACGTGTTTATCATTAAAAGACTTTACCTGTCCCAGGTTGTCTGCCTGCCTGATTCCTCCCCAGCGTTTGGGTCCTTACATCCGCTCCACTCACCAGCGCGTCGTGACAGAACGAGCCAACCTACAGAAGGATCCAGCGGGGAGGTTATCCCTTGAGAGGACCTGCTCCAGTTTCTCTCCATGGACCACCGGCCGGCTCCTCTTCCTCCGCCATCGCCTCGCCGCGGACGCCGCCACCGATCCCGGGCCTCAGCGATCCTCTCCACCCTCCCGGAGCTGGATGGAGACTTGGACGGGGAGGCGCAGATGGACCGCTCCTGTTTTGTGGGCACCAGACTGGCTGTGTGCTCCCCCGGAGTTGGCCCACACCGTTGGGA